ACCCACCTCGGACAAAGGGCTGGGAGAAGGATCTGGGGATCAAGCGATCTCAGTCCAGAAAGCACTTGGTTCAAGGAGGCCTTTTGGCAAGGAGATCCAGAGAGAGCCAGCCCACAGGGTAGGAAGAAACCCAAGTCCTGCAGCCGTTCTTCGTATGTTTTAGTCTCCCGGCCTTTGATCCTCTTAGTTGCTCTTCTCTGCACTTTTTCCAAAGTCTCAACATCCTTTTTGTAGCATGGTGACCTAAACTGGATGCAGTATTCCAGGTGTGGCCTCACTAAGGTTTTATAAAGCGGTACGAATACTTGACGTGATTTTATAATAATAATAATTATTATAATAAAGTTGGAAGGGACCTTGAAGGTCATCGAGTCCAACCCCCTGCTCAGGCAGGAAACCCTACACCATTTTGGACAAATGGCTGTCCAGTCTCTTCTTAAAAACGTCCAGTGTTGGAGCACTCACCGCCTTTGGAGGCAGGTTGTTCCATTGGTTAATTGTTCTAATTATCAGGATATAATTTACTTGGACTTCAGTAAGGCATTTGATAAAGTAGATCACAACCTACTACTCGATAAGATAGAAAAATGCGGGTTAGACAGCATCACCACCAGATGGATCCGTAGCTGGCTGACCGGCCGTACTCAGCGTGTGGTCCTCAATGGAAGTGCATCTCCATGGAGGGAAGTGTATAATGGGGTGCCCCAGGGCTCTGCTCTAGGCCCAGGGCTCTTCAACATCTTCATCAACGATCTGGACGAGGGGATTGTATTAGCTTTTTTGGCTGCTGCCAAACATGGCTGGCTCATGTTTAAGTACTTGTCCACTAGGACTCCGAGGTCCCTCTCACAGTTACTGTGCTTGTATCTTTGGTTGTTCCTTCCCAGGTGTAAAACCTTTCTTTTCTCCACATTAAATATCATTTTGTTGGAGAGGGCTCATTGTTCAAGTCTGTCACGATCTTTTTGGATCCTGAGCTTGTGTTCTGGGGCGTTGGCTGTTCCTCCAGGCTCGAAAAAGATCTTGGCAGACTCCAGCAATGGGCCCTATCCAGCAGAGTGAAATCTGTTTGAGAGGGGGCAATGGGGCAGAGTCCCTTGCCCACCCCTCTTACTCACCCGGACCAGCCCCTCTAACTCTCTTGGTGCCCACCCACCCCCTGGGCTCACCATAGAGTGCCGCTTATTCCTGAGGTCTGAAGCCAGCTTGTAGTTCTGCATCATTTTCTCCTGGGTGGCGTAACCCAGATAGACTTTGGAGAAAGCCCCCGACCCGATTTTTTTGGAAGAGAGGAGGTAGCCATTCTCCTTGCTTTCCCGGACCTGCTCCAAGAACGTCCTCCGGTCGGCCTCGCGCTTCGAGAAGCTCTTCATGGCCCCGAACTGGCCCAGGAGGGGGTGGCCCAGCGGCCGGGCTGAGGGGGCTGCTGCAGGAGGGGCTGCCGCGGGGCGGGGGGAGAGGCCGGCAGAAGCCCAGTTCAGATAAACACATCAGCTCTGCAAGGGGGGGGGACAGGCACGGCGTGTGGGTCCTTCTTAGCACGGCGCCTTTCTCATCTTCCAGCTGGGGGCTGCCACTGGCCAAGCACAAGGAGTGGGAGTCCGAGGGGTCCCTTGTTGCTCTGGGCAGAGGAGTTTCCACAGTGACCGGCAGGTTCAGGCATTCCAGAGGCAGCCTTCTAGAACCGAAGCACAACAAGCAGTTGTAGAACTTTGGATCTCGGCCGGGCGCCCCACAGCTGGACTGGATCTCCAACCCCAACCTGCTGGCAGAAGGCCCCTGGGCAGGCAGGCCTGGGGACCACCTCTTGGGCAGCGCTTCCCAGAGGCTGGGTGAGTCACAGACTGGATTTATACCTCTTGCTAAGCTGGGACTGGGTCTCTCTCTCTGGTCCTGCATGCCAATTCAGCCCCTGCGGTTGGTCTGAACCCCGGGGTTCCACACGTTCTGCCATCCCAGCCAAAAATGGGATGTTCCACAAGTCTGGATTAAGAATGCGGCCCCTCCTGCGACTGGCTGTTTTCCCCTTCAATTGTGTCCGATTCTCGGAGGCTGTCTGGACAAATCTCTGCTGTTTTCTTGGCCAGGTTTTGCAGAAGTGGTTTGCCATTGCCTCCTTCCTAGGGCTGAGCGTGAGTGACTGGCCCAAGGTCACTCCCTCCATTTTGTGCCTAAGGAAGGACTAGAACTCACCACCTCCCAGCTCCTAACCCCAACGCCTTCACCATTACGCCAGCATGCCTGGCTCGGCTGAGGCCAAAGGTTAGGGTGAAGAAGAAGAGAAGGTGGTTTAGAAAGACAGCCTTGAAAAAATGGGTGAAAGGATGTGAGTTAACAGGGACAAATGTCAAGTTCTGCCTTTGGAGAAAAAAATATCAGTTTAGAATTTTGTGCAGCCTGTCTGGCCGTGCATACATGAAAGAAATCACAAGCTGAACACAACCCCCCCCCCCCCCGTGTGGTGCCGCTGTTCAAAGGCGATGCTGCTCGTGTAGGGTCTGGGTGATGGGAAGTGATTGTCCCACCCCCACTCTGCGCCCTGGGGGTAGGGCCCAGCCGTGGACAAGGAGGGCAACTTGGGATGGAAGTGGGTCCTTTCTGGAGGGACATTGAAAGGAGGTGATGAAGAATAGAATAGAATAGAATAGAATAGAATAGAATAGAGAAAAGGAATAGGATAGGATAGGATAGGATAGGATAAAATCAATGGAATGGAATGGAATGGAATGGAATGGAATAGAGTAGAGTAGAGTAGAGTAGAGTAGAGTAGAGTAGAGTAGAGTAGAGTAGAATAGAATAGAATAGAATAGAATAGAATAGAATAGAATATATGAAGAATAGGATAGAATAGGATAGGATATGGTAGGATAGGATAGGATCAATGGAATGGAATGGAATAGAATAGAATAGAATAGAACAGAATAGAGAAAAGGAATAGGATAGGATAGGATAGGATAGGATAGGGAAAAGGAATAGAATAAGAATAGAATAGAATAGAATAGAATAGAAAAGAATAGAATAGAAGCTGGAAGGAACCTTGGAGGTCTTCTAGTCCAGCCCCCTGCTCAAGCAGGAGAACCTATACCAGTGGTGGCGAACCTATGGCACGCGTGCCAGAGGTGGCACTCAGAGCCCTCTTTGTGGGCACACGCGCCGTTGCCCCAGCCCCGCCTTCCCCCCCAACCCCCTCACCAGCAGCCTGCCTGGAGAGGCTCCCCCAAGCATGATCCATGCGGAGCTGCACAGCCAAGCACATGGCAGCCGGGCAGCAGGGGCAAGACTCCGCCTTTGCACCCCATGACGTGCAGATGATGTTGCAGGGTGTGGGCGGAGGGCGTGGCCGCCATGGCGCTGCAAGGCTTCCTGGGCAATCTGTGGTGAGTGCCCCTGCGGGTGGACGGAGTGGGGGGGGGCAGAGTGGGGGCAGGCTGGGGGGCCGGGCCAGTTTTTGGGCACTCGGTCTCTAAAAGGTTCGCCATCACTGACCCATACCGTCTCAGACAAGTGACTGTCTAGTCTCTTTTTAAAAAGCTGCAGTGATGGAGTACCCACGATTTCTGGTGGCAAGCTGTTCCACTGGTTAATTGTCCTCACGGTTAGGAAGTTTCTCCTTAATTCCAGGTTGCTTCTCTCTTTGGTCAGTTTCCAACCATTGATTCTTGTCCTGCCTTCAGGTGCTTTGGAGAATAATGTGACCCCCCCTTCTTTGTGGCAGCCCCTCAGAAGGGAAGACCTGGCAGGGTGATACAGGGAGAATTGCCTCCATCACTGAAGGCTTTCAAGAAGAGACTGGCCAGCCACTTGTCACAAGTGATACAGGGTCTCCTGTTTGAGCAGGGGGTTGGACTAGATGACCCACAAGGTCCCTTCCAACTCTTATTTTGTTATTCATTATCTGGAGGGTGGGAGCTACAGAGGACAAGGACAGCAAGCCCCGTCTTACGGCAGGCAGTTTCAACTGACATGGGGGGGGGGCGCCCCAGCCGATGCTCGTTTCCCTTTCACCAGAGCAGCGGATCCCGGGCCGAGAAGGGGGGGGGCGTCGAGCCGAACTGTTGAAAGGAGAGGAGCCCGGCGGGGAGGTCCGTGCAGCCCCCGGCCGCGCCCGCGGAAAACGCGGCGGGAACATGGGCTGCCACTACCGCCGTCTTTCCCGCAGCGGCCACTCTGCCGCTTCCCCTGCCCGCAGCTCCGCGGCGACGAGGCCGGCGGGAGGGGGACGCTGCCCGGCCCGCTCTGGGGCCGAGAGAGCCCCGTGGCCGGAGAAGCGGAGCCTGTCGGGGCCCTTCTTCCCAGGCGGGGCGCGCGGGCGGCGTCTGTCTCGGCCCGGCGGGGCCGGCCCGGAGCTCTCGGTCTGCTGAGCAGCGCCGTCGCCCGGGGAGGCCGAAGCCGCGGCGGCTGCGTTCGGGCTGGAAGCCTCCGCGGCCTTTCTCCCCGCCCCGCCCTCGCCCGTCTGGACTGGGCGCCCGCGGAGCAGCTGGGCGGGAACCCCGATTGCCCGGCCCCGCCAGGCTTCCCAGTGCGGAGAGCCCGGCCGCCCCCCCGGCCGGTGGCTCCTTCAAAGCCCCCGCGCAGCCCCCTCGGCGCCCGGTGGGCAGGCGGGGCCGCTGTCCTCCCGCAGCCGCCCCGGCGCCGGGTCCTCGGCCTGGGCTCGACACAAACGGAGCCCCCAAGCCAGTCTCCGCGCTTCTCCCCTCCGGGCCACCCGAAGCCCAAAGAGCCGCCCGGAGCCCCCGCCGGGTTAAGGACGCGGCTGGACCCGTCGCGGGATCGGCGCGGCCAGGGAAGGGCGGCCTGCTCCGCGCGCAGCGGATCCCCCTGGCTCCGTTCGAGCCCGGCCCGGATGGGAGACCACCCGGGAATCCCGGGCCGACCCTGCAGCGCGTCGGCTGAGCCCCGCCCCCAAAGACCGCGGGCGGGGAGGGGGCGGGGCCGCCCAGGGGCGGGCCTCGTCACGAGATACTCTCCTCTGCTCGGAGGGGCGGGGACGAGTCGGCGCACGCGCGTTAGTGACGGACTGCCGCTGTAAGCCAACGGGGGCGGCGCCCGAAGCCGTCCGCTTCTCCAACGGGGCGCCCCTTCGCCGTTCCGACGCCCGTCTCCCTCACCGGGAGCGCCCGCGGGCGGAGGGCTGCTCTTCTTGGTGGGTCTATGAGCCCGGGGGGCGGGGTGGGGCGGGGCCTCCCCAGGTGAGGGCGTGGCCTTAAATATCCGGAAGCGCTGCTCCCCGCCAGCCAGGTGCGGAACCCCGCCAGCCAGGTGCGGAACCGTCCCGGCGCAGCGAAGGGCGAGTGAGTGGCGGCAGTCCGGGCGGCTCCCCCCCCGCCCTCCCCTCTGCCCCGGGCCCCGCCGGGAGGGTCGCGCATCACCCGCTGCGGAGGCTTCCCCGGGGCGCGGGCTGCGGGCTGCGGTTCCGGCTGCTTCGCCGTCCCGCGGCCCCCTCTGCGGCCGGAGCTGTCCGGCTGAGCGGCGCTTCCCTCTCAGCCCACAGGACGCACTCGGCCGCCCGGAATCGGGGCGCTGCAGGAGAGGAGCCGCGCCGAGCCCGTCTCTCCCGGCGGGCGCCCGAGAAGCCGCCGCTCGGGGGATGAGCCGGGCCGCCCCGCCGCACTCCCCGGGCGCTCGGTCGGCGGCGAAGGGCGCCCTCGAGGCCTCTAGCGGGGCCCGCCCGCATCCTCCGCTCGGCGCCTGGATCGTCCCCGGAGCGCCTCGCCCGGAGCTCCCGCTTTGCCCAGGAAGACCCGAAGCGGCCGCTGCCCCGCCGGAGCCCGGAGCATGGCCGAGTCCCGGGTGAAAAGTAAGTGGGGCGGGGTCGCCGGGAGGGGTCTGGCCTGCAACAGGGGATGGTCCGGGCCGTGGATGGACTTCAATTCCCAGAATTCCCCCACGGCATGCTGGGTGTGGGAGCCCCCCCCATCTTCAAGAGCGTGAAACCTACATGGCCAGGTCTTTGCAGGAATGTGTGGACCCCCCCCTCCTCTCTGCTGCTTTCCCCCCCCCCCACCTGCCCCCCCCCAGGCTTTGCTCTCCTGACTGGAGAGGCTGAGGGGCAGCTTTGGGCCTTTGCCTCGCACCAGCCCCCCCTCTTTTACTGGAAATTTCTATATGGACCCCATTTTGGGGGGGCAACGCTTTAAGATTGTTGCAGAGCATTGCTGGGGAATTTTGAGAATTGAAGTCCACAAGTCTTAAAGTGGCCAAGTTTGGGAACCCCCTGATATAAACAAAAGATGAACATGAAAGTATGTAAAGAGAACTTAGATAGGAACAGTGCAAAAAGCAATTAGAGAGAAAGACAGCAGAAGAAGTGACTTCCAATCTTCTTTGCAGCAGTTGCAAACAAGCACCAGCCTTCCTCCCTATTTACCTCACAGAGATTCCCTCTATCTCATATTCGGCCTTTTTTTAAATTGGCAATTCCAGAAATCGCCTCCTCCCTTTTTCTTTGTATACAAGGTTTCCAGTCTTTTATACCAGTATTGCCGGCAAGAGTTTTCCTTCCCCTGAAGGGTGGCAGTGCCCAGCGGGATCTCCGAAGGGGGTCCCCTCAACTCCCGTGAGCAGACGGGGATCCCGCTGGCTCCTCTGCCCACTTGCTATCTTCCCCGAAAAAGTGGTGCCAGGGCTGGGGTGCCGCACTTCACACCCTGGCCCAGTCCGAGAGCAGCCGGAGGAGGTTAATTCACCCTCTCCTGGAACAGATCTCACCCAGCTTTTCACGCCATCTGTTGTGGGAGGAAAGGGGAATTGCCTCGCAATTTCTTCAGCAGTGTCGTCACTCGCCTTCCGGTGTGCTTAACTATCGCACAGAGTGACCCAGTGCAAAGCTGCTTTGCCTCCATTTGCCTGGGAGTCGAGCAGGGCCCAGGGCTTCCCCTGGGGCTTTGGCTGTGGGGCATTGGGGACCTGAAAAAGGCCCCCGGAGCCCACCTTCCCTAAAAGGCTCCACCGGGCTGCTGCCAAGTGGACGGCAAATTTGGTGCCCCCAGCAAAGCAGAGGAACATTTCAAACCTGAACAGAAAAGCCACCCAGAGTCACTGGGGAGGGGAAAGAGGTCTGGGTAGCAGTTTAATAAATAACAATCAAAAGCAGGCGTTCTCTTTGCTTAAAGCGATAAGTGGATAAGCCAAAGAAAGGTTCAGTTCCCCGCAGTGGTGGGATTCAGCCGGTTCGCACCACTTCAGCAGAACTGGTAGCTAATTTTTTGTTGCCCAGGCCCAGAACGGACTTCCGGAAGTGGCATCCACACAGAGAACCGGTTGTTCCCCTATTTGAATCCCAGCACTGGTTCCCTGGGCAGATTTCTCTAAAACTGGAGTGGGAGCTAAGATGTCAAGCTCAGCCTGAGCAATTAATGTATGTTTCAGCCAATTAAGGGAGCCAATGTGGCCTTCGCTGAAGGAGCTGTAATATTTCCTAGCTCTGACTGCTTCTACTGGCTGAAAAGCCTTACTGTGGGTTTCAAACCAGGTTCCTGTTCCTTCTCCTCCTCCTCCTTTTTCTGTTGCCGTTACAGGAAATCCCCATTTATTGTAAAAACCTTGGGCTGCGCCTTTCTGCATTGTATGGAATGGATGTGAAAATAAATAAAATTTGCTATGAAATTGCAAATAACCAGGTTTTGGCAAGACACATCTCCCTGTATGAAGCGGTTAGCTAAGGCCCCTGATTTGATGGCTGGTTAATATGAAATTTACCTTGTTTGCAGCCCTTTGAATAACCCACGGAGAAGCGTCTGTGGAGATTCTCAGTCATCTAAGCCATCGTTGTCTCAAAAGTGCTTTTTTCAGGCAATAGGACTGCTTTTTCCCTTGAAAAAGAGTTCCTGGAGCAGCCCTCTAAGGTGGAGTGGTTCCTTCCTGACTTGCTGGGACAGAAGCGGTTTCGTCCGCTGCACAGAGCTCACCGGAGGAATCTGCTGGCTGTGATGAATTTGAAAAGATCAGAGGGAAGGAGAGAAGCATAATCAGATCTGCAAGGTTCAGTTTCAGAAACGAGGCGCTTCGAACTGTCTCCAGCGCCTGGTGCAGCTGTAAGGAGAAGGTTTTGGGGACCTTCTAGATCAGTGGTTCTCAACCTGTGGGTCGGGACCCCATTTGGGGTCGAACGACCATTTCACGGGGGTTGCCAAACGCAGTCCGCTATTTTTCCCCCCCTTTCCCTTAGCTGTGCTACTCCCTTTTATTCTCTTGGCTTTTGAAAGCCAATAGAATAGACTCTCTTGAATAGAGTTTAATTCTATTGGCTTTCAAAAGCCAATAGGAATTGTCCAGGCTGTCTCTGCCCTGCTGAGCCCACCAAAAGTCCCAGTCTGCAAACGGGGCTGCACCAGTTGAGTAGTCCTCGACTTACGACCGGTTGAGTAGTCCTCGACTTACGGCCGGTTGGGGATCGCGGCATTAAAAAGGTTGAGAACCACTGGAGTAGAGCACCGCCTGGGTCTCCAGGGAGGCTCATGCCAGGCGGAGAGGTTGCCACGGGTGGATTGGAGCTATGTGGAGTGTGCCACTCTGCCAGGCCGTCAAGCAGAAACCGCAGGCACAGGGGTCCCTCAAATAACACAGCCTGTTTTTTTTCATTTATTCTTTCTGGGTTTTTCCCCCCTCTTTCTTCCTCCAGTGAGCAGTGGGTTGAACTGAACAGCCTCTTGGGCCTTTCAGCTTTTGGGGTTCTGCTGTCTGGAACCTCCCAACTTTTGACTGGTCATAGAATGATGTAAACCAGATAGGCTGGAGAGGTGATATTCAAGTTCAATGCTCTCTAGCCAGGCTGACCTTCTTAGTAGATGCGGACTAGAAAAGTGCGAAGAGGTTAATTGTAAGTGCTGTTCCGCAGCCTGTGCTGAGCGGGAAGGGTTATATTTGGGGTGTGGAAATCTCGTTTGGCGTTGAAAGGGAGCCTGCCAGGTGCATCCAGGACCCCCTCCAGTGCTGAGCAGCTCCCTGGCAAGGCTGCTGTCTCTCACAGGACCCAGTGTTGGTGACCCTGCTTAGAAAGCACCCCGAGTATTGTACAAGCCGGACCGCGTGTCTCAGTCCTTGCAAGGCATCCTTCGTGGGCCGGAGCTCCTTGATCGCCCTGGGGTTTAGATGGACGCCTTTTTGAGATGACCCAGAAAGGCCTGCCACCACCATCGCCCTGACTGTGCACATTTGGGGCATCTTTAGGATGGCTTTGCTGCCTCCTGCCCATTGTGGATCCTGTGGCTTGAGGAGGGGGCCCTTTGGAGCTTTGGGGAGCACTACCTGTCTTGCCTCAGACACCGTCAAGGTCGCAGAACACTGATTCTTCTGCCTGGGCTGCTGTGGCATCTGCAGATTGGGCTGGGGTTGTGAAGGGTGGAGATTCAGAGTTTCTGTACTGCTTTGGGCTTTGAACTCCACGCAGGGCCTGCCGACAGCTTTTTGCTGCAGGCTGGTGCCACAAATATTCTTTAACAGCGCACAAGTGTTGCTGTTCTCATTGTGCTGTTCTCATTGTGCTGCAGTCAGTCCGAAGGGGGCATCCCGGGGCTCTGAAGAATGTTTCCTGGAGCAGTGGACGCTTCCCTTCTATCTCACATTTCTTGAATATTGTCCGTCTGGCCGGCTTCACTTTTTCAGCTCTTTTCCTGCGCTTGGAACTACGAGGCCTTTGCCTCTTCAAGTGCCGGCTTTAGCACAGTTCCCTGCCTCCTCCTGCCTCTCAGCATCCCTGCTAGGAAGTCTGTTCTTCGTGGGTCAGATCCCCTCCTCAAGAATTATGGGCAGCGCTACTTAAGGGGCCAGAAAGGTTTAGGCTGGAGAAGGGACAGAGAGGTAAAAGGGAGAACGGCCTTCATGCAACTAAAAGAGTATCACCTACCTTGGCCACCTTAAGACCTGTGGACTTCAACTCCCAGAATTCCTCAGCCAGCATGGGTGGCTGAGGAATTTTGGGAGTTGAGGTCCACAAGTCCTAAAGTTGCCAAGGTTGGAGACTCCTGCTATGGAAGGTAAGAACATCTGGTTGATTGCCTGTTGCCTGTTGGAGAACCTCTGGTTCAGTTGCCTGTCCATCTTCTAAAGCTGATGTCCAACTGAAACCTAAACCTTTGCTCCTTCCCTGGACTCCTGGAAGGGCAATTCTCCCACCTTTTCTACACGACAGCCCTTCCGATGCTGAAACACAGCCATCTTCCCTCCTAGCCATCTTTTCTTCTCCCGGGTAAACACCCTCTCAAACCAAACCTCCAACGGCTCCTGGTTTGTTTTTCTTCACTCTAGTCTAGTTTATCAGCATCTTTCCCAAGATGTGTCCAGATGTAATATTGTGCATGTGACCAATTCCAAACAATGAAGAATGATTTATCTTGATTTTGGGACTATTGTGCAAATAATCAGTGCTTGAAGTGGGATTTGCTGCCTGTTTATATAATGCCTTGTCCTGCCAGTGTTGGTAGAGTTGTGGTTTTCTCCTTGGTAATTCCTGGATTAGGGAATTGTTTTCTGCTTGATTGTCTGGTGTTAATCCCTGCTTATCTGGTGTTCACCGTTGGGGAAATCGCAGAGGTGCTTTTTCCAGAAGGCAACTGGACTATCTTGTTTTTTTTCCTTTGAAAACGTTTCGCTTCTCATCCAAGAAGCTTCAGAACTGGGACAACCGTGACTTGGATGACAGAGAATCTCCATAGGCAGCAGCTGGAGAAAATGTATTTTGGTCTCTTTATTTGCTTCTTAGCTTTTTTTAAATTTTCTTTTTTGAATGGTGTGTAAATGTGATTTATCTCCATGTGTCTGTTGGTGACTGAGAGTCAAGCTTCCAGGAATTCCCTAGTGGTTTTTGATTAACTTGGTCTAGGATGCTCATAGTTTCCCAGTGAAACTATGGTTGAGTCTGTCCACGTTTTGTGAAATCTGGGAGTTTTCATTATGTCTTCTGACAGCAAGTTGGCGTTCAGGATCATCGACTAGTCTTCTGCCTGCCTGTCCTCCATAATGGCTTCAAGAGTCCTTCTGTTGTAGATTGTACAGGACTCCAGTTTTATTCTTCTTGGGCTGCTGGGTGTTTTGCATTGCTTAAGATGTTTTGGTGGGGAGCAAATCCCACACTTTAGAATCATTGGGTTGGAAGTGATCCTGGAGGTCTTTTAGGCCCGGGTTAGGCAACCCTGGCTTTTTTATGACTCGTGGACTTCAACTCCCAGAATTCCTGAGCCAGCATGGAAAAACCATAGCCCCCTTGATGACTGGTGGACTTCAACTCCCAGAATTTCTGAGCCAGCATGGCTGAGCTTGGAAACCTCTCCCTTTCCCCTCAGCATGGCTGGCTCAAGAATTTTGGAAGTTGAAGTCCACCAGTCATAAAAAAGTCAAGATGGCCTGCCTCTAGCCTAGGCCTAGGCCGCTTTATGACTGGTGAACTTCAACTCCCAGAATTCCTGAGCCAAAATGTCTCAGCTTGGAAACCTCTCCCTGTCCCCTCAGCATGGCTGGCTCAGGAATTCTGGGAGTTGAAGTCCACCAGTCATAAAAGAGCCAAGGTTGCCTACCCTTATTCTAGTCCAACCCCCTTCCCAAGCCACCACGAGTCCTCATACCATCCCGGACGACTGGTCATCCAGTCTCCAGTGATGTAGCATCCCAGTTCCTGGAAGCAAACTGCTCATTGCCTAATCATTCTCCCTGTTGGTTTTGGCTGGTTCTCCTTGTGCCTCTTCTGCAAAGACCTGTCCCTGCAGCTGAGGCAGGAGGGCTGGTGAAAAGATCCAGCCGGCTGCCCTCGGCTGCCCTGAGGGCCCTCCATCTGCGGATTGCAACATCTCTGCCTCTGAAGCACAGAGGCCGAGCATTGTGGACTCAGAGTACAGCCTCTCTCCCCAGCTCCTTCTCCTCCTCCCGGCTAGGGTATCCTGGGCATTTTGATTTGAACGGCGTTTTTCAGTGAATAGCTTAAACTGACTTCTGTATCATGGAGAAATATAATAACAGAGTTGGCAGGACCATGGAGGTCTTCTAGTCCAGAGCTCCCCCCAACCTTTAGGGCACCAGGGACCGGTTATGTGGAGAGAGGTTTTTCCGCTGACCGGAGGGGGCCTGGTTTTGTGTGCTGCCTGCATCCCGCGCACGGATGGGGCTTTGTTTGCTTGGGGGGACCGGTTGCTGGCATGCTGTGGCCCGGTACCAGTCCATGGACCGAGGGTTGAGGACCCCTGTTCTAGTTCATCTCCCTGCTGAAGCAGGAGACCCTCTACCATTCTAGACAATTGGTTGTCCAGCCTCTTTTTAAAAACCTTCAATGATGGAGCACCCATAGCTTCTGGAGGCAGGTTGTTCCACTGATTGATTGTTCTCCCAATCAGGAAATCCCTCCTTAGTTCCAGGTTGCTTCTCTCCTTGGTTAGTTTCCATCCGTTGCTTCTTGTCCTGCCTTCAGGAGCTTTGGATATTATCTTGACTCCCTCATCTTTGGGGCAGCCCCTGAGATACTGGAAGAATAATTGGAAGATATTGGAAGAACAATTAACCAGTGGAACCACCTGCCTCCAGAAGCGGTAAATGCTCCAACACTGGAAGTTTTAAAGAAGAGACTGGACAGCCATTTGTCCGAAATGGTATAGGGTTTTCTGCCTGAGCAGGGGGTTGGACTAGATGACCTCCAAGGTCCCTTCCAACATCATCATCATCATCATCATCCTCCTCATTATTATTATTATTATTATGGATTATCGCACAGTCAGCCAGATGTTCAGACTGGATTTGGCATTTTGTCTACCTATCGAGTCCTTACCCAGGACATGGATAGGCAGATGTGGATGTTTGATGGTATTACAGATATCGTCGCAGGATGGAAGCAGTTCCTAGTAAGGCCGCCTTTTGCAATTGAATAATGGTGAATTTGTCAATGCCGATTGTGTTCAAGTGGTGCTCCAGTTGTTTTGGGATTATTATTATGATGATGATGATGATGATGATGATGATGATGACTGATAGAATGTCACCCCTGGTCCTTCTCTTCGTTAAAGCAGGCAAATCCAATTCCTGTATGTTTTAGCCTTCAGCCCCCTGATCACCTTTGTTGCTCTTCTCTGCAATCCTTCCAGAATCTCAAGATCTTTTTTTTTATTATGGTTATCTTAGTAACCCTTGGGTATTTCCCTTGGGAAGCGCCTCTGAAGGGCCCAGAGGTTTGCGTTGACGGCATAAAAACGGATCTGATGCCATTCCATATTAGTTCAGATCTTTGGGTGCTCAGACTAGCTGTGGGCTTCCTTGTGATATTTGGCCCAGGAGGGCTTGAGCGGAGCAGCTGGTGCCAGCCGGGCAAGAGATGCAGGGCTGTTGGGAGGATGGCAAAGGCTCTCTGGCTCTTTTTCAGGGCTGGCCATGACCCTGATGGACGCCACGGCCGACAAGGACCCTGTCGTCCAGGAGCAGATCTTCAGTGCCCTCTGCTCTTTGGGCAGGGCTGAGCCCGAGGAGGTCTTGAACGCTTGCGAGGAGTACCTGCGGCAGCACGAGAAGGTGGGGCACCCCAGCGTGGCTGTTTCCGTAAAAACGCCAGGGGTGGGGACACGTATTTCTGCCTGGACGGGCAGGAGACTCCGGAAGGCTATTCCGGAAAGCTCCTTCGGGGAGGAAGGAGCGCAGCTGGCAGGCGATGCCCTTGCAGCTCCAGAGAGTCGGTGCCGGGCACAGGTTGGGGCTGCCTCGGGCACTGCCCCTCATCTCTGCCCCCTTCCCTTCTTTCCCAGCTGGCCCACCCATTCCGGGTCATCCTCCTGAGGGCCATGGAAGCCGTGGTGAAGAGCAGCCTGGCTCAGCTGGACAAAAGCACGGCCAAGATCGTCATCTTCCTGGCGTCCAACGAGATGACCAAGTCTAAAGTAAGCCTGGGAGCTGCCCGGGGGGCCACGTGGCTGAAGAGCTGCCTGCCCCTCTGGCCCCTTTGGCCTTCTCACCCGGAGGCCCCAAGGAAACCACGTCTACAACCTGAGGAGGGGCTGGGGGGCGCTGGGCCACTTCTGGGCATCCTGGCCTGGGCTGCCGCACCCATCGGCTCTGCCCGCATGGCTGCCCCGTTGTGTTGCCGTGCCCACTGCTCCCGGGGGGGGGAGGGAATGTGGGGATGGAGCGTGGGGTCGAGCTGTTGGTCTTGGGCTCCCTTAGGAGGCTCTTCTGGAGTGGCAGCAGGCTGCCAGCAACGTCCTGGTCGCAGTGGGGAGGCGCTTCATCAACCAGGTGATGGAGGAGGTGCTGACCAAGTTCCAGCCGGGGGTCCTGCCTCACCCCTTCATCGTACTGACCTTCGCCAACCTCTCGGTGGCCAATGGTGGGTGCGCCCTCTGTTCGGTCACTCTTTGCCCAGGAGGAGGGTCTACGGCCTGATGGGCAGGGAGGCTGGGGGGGGGGGTTGAAGGGGGGTGCTTAGGAAGGCAAGCGAGGTTGGCAGCCTGACCCTCTGCCTACTCACTGCCATGTTCAGTGCCTGGTGTCCCTCGGCAGAGGGTCCAAGGCATCCTGGGCATCGTGGCGCAGCTTGTCCAGGCTCTGGCCCATTAAGGGACAGGTTGCCCAGTGGGCACTTTGAGACCTGAGCCTCATTTTTTTCTGTTTTCAGTGAACCTCGACTTGTTGATTTAGGGGATCCGAGTCTTCTAAAATTTATTTTGTCAGGGAGCTTCCTCGAGTTTTAGGGAGGGAGCGATGTGAAATGTTGGAAATAAATAAATAATACATTTTGGAGAAATCTCACATAAGTAATTGCGTGTCCTGTGGTGTCCCTTCAAACTGGTTATGTCGGTCCAGGTGATGCTCAGTCTGCAAAGCCTCTGAAGGGCCACAGGTGGGGCAGAGAAGAAGCTAAGTAGGGGCGGGAAGGATGTGTGGTTTATTTATTTATTTGGCATAGGGCCTATCGCAGGGGTAGGCAACCTTGGCTCTTTTATGACTCGTGGACTTCAACTCCCAGAATTCCTGAGACAGCATGGGGGAACTATGGCCACTTCATGACTCGTGGACTTCAACTCCCAGAATTCCTGAGCCAGCCATGCTGAGGGAAAAGGGAGAGGTTTCCAAGCTGAGCCAGACTGGCTCAGGAATTCTGGGAGTTGAATTGAGTCACAAAAGAGCCAAGGTTGCCTATCGTATACCATATGCCGTTATAAACATTTCAGCTGAGACTTTGCTTGTTCTCTGCCATTCTGACCGGAGGAGGGCCAGTTCCTCGGGCGGGGGGGCAGTGCCTGCTCGGGGGGGGGTCTTCTGTTTTAACCCTCCTTCCCGGAACTTCCTCTCAAAGTATTTGGGATGGTCCCCTTCCTCAACTCCATCCTGGGGACGATGCTGCCTCTGCTGCCCCTGGCCAAGCAGGACAACACGAAGTCCGTCTTCTGCTACGGTAAGACAGCGGTGTGTGTGTGTGTGTGTGTGTGTGTGTGTGTGTGTGTCTCGCTGGATTTGGGGGTTCAGTCCCGGGACAAACGGTTTGCAGGGCTACCCGGGCAGAGCAGGAGACGGCTGCCTGCACACTGCTCCACCTGTGCAGGTGTCGCCTGCCGTTGAATCGTGCCTTCCTTTGTGCTTAATTGTCAAATGATCCAGGAAGCCCATTTTACCGATTTGATTTTTACCCATCTTCCTATTTTCTGCGTCTTTCGCTTTTCTCTGTCCCAAACTTATAAAAATGGCTGCCAACCGTGTGTGTGTCTGTGAGAACTCTTGCTTTGGACTTCTTGGGCTCCGGATGGGGTCTGGAAGAGGCTTTGAGCCCAACAGCTGCACCCCGAGTCATCTGCAGAGGCCCCTGTTGGCGGGAGGTCAGAGCACCCCAAGGCTTCTGGGTTGGACAGGGTGATTCTGGTTGCTGCCCTTTGGGCTCTTTGGGGGTGGTCTGAGCTTTTGTGGGACCCCTGCGTGGCTTGGTGAGTTTTGCAGGTTGGGTTGTGAGGAGGAGCTTTCCACCCGAGCCTTTAAGGAACAGAAGAAGAATCCCACTGCACTCTTTGGCCACCCTTCCTTACTCCTCTTCCCCTCCGCTCCGTTATGGATTCTGGGGGGAGAAGCTGCTGAGACCCTAGAAAGAGTGGAGGAGAAAAGAGCAATGGAGGTGGTAAAGGGTCTGCAGATAAACTATAGCATGAACAGTTGAGGGAATTGGGCAGGGTGAGCTTCACAAAGAGAAGCTTAACGTGAGAGCCGTCTTCTAATGCTTGAGGGGCTGTCAGAGAGAAGATGGGGGGGGGGTCGGCCTCTTCCTCAGAGCACCTGAAGGCAGGACAGGAAGCAACAGGTGGAAGCTCCTCAGAGGGAGATGTAACCAGGAGAAACTTCCTAACAGTGAGGACCATTAACCAGTGGAACAATCTGCCTCCAGATGTTGTGGGTGTTCCATCACTGGAGGTTTTTAAGAAAAGATTTGAGAACCATTTGACTGAAATGGTATAGGTCACGGGTAGGCCACCTGGGCTCTTTTATGACTCGTGGACTTCAACTCCCAGAATTCCTGAGCCAGCATGGGGGACCTATGGCCCCCTCATGAGTCGTGGACTTCAACTCCCAGAATTCCTGAGCCAGCCTGGCTCAGCTTGGAAGCCTCTCCCTTTCCCCTCAGCATGGCTGGCTGGGGAATTTTGGGAGTTGAAGTCCACCAGTCATAAAAGAACCAAGGTAGCCTACCCCTGGTGTAGGGTTTCCTGCCTGAGCAGGGGGCTGGACTAGAAGACCTCCAAGTCCCTTCCAGCCCTAGGTTCTAGGTCTCTGGCGTCTCCTCCCTCCCCCAGCCTTGCAGTACTTCAGCGAGAGCATCCTGGAGTACCTGGCCAACCTGGACAAGGCGCCAGACCCAACTGTGAGGCGAGACACCTTCTCCAGTGAAATCTTCAGCGCCTACGAAGTCCTCTTCAGCTGCTGGCTGCCCAGCCGGGAGACCAAGGTGCGGTGGTGGGGGGGGGAGGAGGAGGAGGAGGAGGAGGAAGGCTGCCTGATGATGGGGGTCTTGGGCCAAAGTTCAGTGCCTGTGGGGGAGGGCTACAGGTCTCCCCGGATTCTGGCGAGGGCGCAAGAGGGGCGAATCCCGGAGAGGGCCCCCTTGACGACCTCCCCACCTGTCCCCGCAGGTGCGGCTGGCCGTGGTGGAGGCCCTGGGGCCCATGAGCCACCTGATGCCCAGCGAGAAGCTGGAGGAGCTGCTCCCTCGCCTGATCCCCGGCATCCTGGCCCTGTACAGGAAGCCGGCGGAGGCCTACTACGTCTCCAAGGTAGGCCGGCTGGCAGGGCCGCCTCGGCCTGAGCAGAGGGTCCGAGGAGGGGGCACCTCCCCCGGGCCCTTCGCCTACCCTGAGCTGTTTCTCTTCCTGCGCCGCACGGCCCTTGCGGGTGGAGGGCGTGGGCTTCGGTCCCAGGTGGGAGTTTGGGGGCCGCGTTGTGAAGCGGGCAAAGGCCCCTTTTTGGGACCCCAAGTTGGCTTCTTGGGGGCTCCCTCCTTTTGCCCAGGGGGGGAGGGGCACCAAGACAGCAGGTTTGTCCTCGAGCAGCTCCATCGTATTGGCAGAGGGGTTCTCCGCCCCGTCTGGCAGCCTGTGCAAGTAGTCCTCGGCTTACGGCAGTTCGTTTAGTGCCCGTTCAAAGTTGCAACTGAAAAACATGATTGTTTTACACACAACCGTTGTGGCGTCCCCTTTTGGTCACGTCATCAAAATTCAGGCGCTTGGCCACTGGCATGTACTAGCGACGGTTGCAGGGTCCCCCTGGGGTCACATGAGCAGAGCCAACGGGGGGGGGGGAGCTGGACTAACTCAACAGCTGCAGTGCTTCGCTTAAACACTGGCAGGAAAAGTCCCAAGGGACAAGACTCACTCAACAACCGTCTCACTTAGCAACAGAAATGTTGGGCTCAACTGCTGTAAGTCGAGGACCAGCTGCACTGCCAAGCCCATAAGGCTGCATGCAAGCATGGTTTACCTGATCTGGGGAAACTAAAACCTTGAAACCGGTTAAGTTCCGGAGGTGTTAATCCAGGAAGAGGAAACCCTTGAGCTCTCTCTCTCTCTCTGTGTGTGTGTGTGTGTGTGTGTGTGTGTGTGTGTGTGTGTGTGTTGGTGGGTTCTCCCCTCCCTCTGCTGGGCTGCTGTGGCAAGAGGGGGGATGTATCCTTCCTTACTCAGCCCCTTGAACAGAGCCTGTGCCAGATCCTGGAAGCCTCGGTCAATATTGGGAGCCGGACGCTGGACACACAGGTGGACGTCCTCCTTGGGACCCTCCACCTCCAGGTAAGGGGGGCTACCTGACTGAGATGGCCCCAAGCCTGGGTACAAGCTCCCCCCCCAGTGGCCGTGCACTGGGCGTATGGTGGGGTGGGGTGGGGTGTCAGCAGGCTGGTTCCTTACGGCCCGGAGCTTTCCACTGGGAACTGCCTGGGTGGGCTGCCCTTCACCTGGTGAAGCTGGTGCTCTTCTCCCCCTCCCCTCCCCCTCCTCCCCCAACGCCCCCCCCCCCGCAGCTCTGCGCCCCTCTGGACTCTTCCCTGCCCTTCTCTCTGAAGAACCACAACGAGCTCCTTCGCTGCTTCACCGTCTTAGGTGAGAGACCCTCCTGGGGCGGGGGAGGGGGTCCCTCACGCTGGTGGCCCACTTGACCTCTGGGGGGGGCCTCCCGTCTCTTGCAGCCACTTCATTCCCTGACCGCTTGCTGGGATTTCTGCTTCCCAAGCTGGAGTCCAGCAACGAGAAGACGCGGGTGGGGACGCTGACCATCCTGCGGCAGATCATCAACAGCGCCCGTAAGGCGGGGGAAGGGTAGCTGGCTGGGGATGGGGGGCAGCAGGGGCACTGCGGAGGGGGAGGGGCCTGTCTCCCCCTTCGAGGGTGGGGGAAGGAAAGGCTGGACAAGGGAGGGGCTTCTGGGGGGAGGTCAAGCCTGCAAGCCCCGCACCTGCCTGCCCCCGGAGTCACCTCGTCCCCCTTTGGCCCTTGGTGGCCAGTGGGGGAACAGGCTTCCTGCCCTCCCCATCGTTCCCTGGCACTCCATTGCCCTGATTCCAATGGTCAAGCCGAGGGGTAGGCAACCTTGGCTGTTTTAGGACTCATGGACTTCAACTCCCAGAATTCCTGAGCCAGCATAGCTCAGCATGGAAACCTCTCCCTTCCCCTCAGCGTGGCTGGCTGAGGAATTCTGGGAGTTGAAGTCCACGAGTCATGAAGGGGCCATAGTTCCCCCATGCTGGCTCAGGAATTCTGGGAGTTGAAGTCCATGAGTCCTAAAGCAGCCAAGGTTGCCTACCCCTGGTCAAGCCGATGCAGGAGAATTTGGCCCTTGTGACCTACCTGGCACCAGAGGGGCTTTGCTGGCAGATGGGGACACCTGGCGCATTGGAGGAGGAGGAGGAGGAGGAGGAGGAGGTGCGAAGGTGCCTCTGATCCATTGGGACCCGCAATGGGCCCTGGGTGGGGAGGTGGGGGCAAAGTGGACCTGCGGGTGGCTGGCAGGGAGCAGCTGTGCCTTGAGCTTCTGCTCTGCTTCTGCCCAGCCGCTCAGATGGAGATCAAGAAGCCGTTTCTCCTGTCCTCCATGAAGCTCCCCCTGCAGGACCACAGCAACAAGGTGAGAGGGGCGAGGCCTCCCCCCTGGCCCCCCCCCAGCCCTGCCCCAGTTCTTGCCCTCGGAGGCTGCATCCCTGCCCTGCGAAGGCCACCTGGCCCTTCCGAGGGGCATTTACGCCTCTCCAGGTGGCCGATGCTCTGTTGCGGGTGAAGGGGGGAGAGGGGCTCACCCTTGCCAGCTTTTATGGGGCGGGGGGGGGTAGGGAAGATTGAGAATGCCGGTCTGGCTCTGTCCTCCCTGCCAGGCCCTGCAGTCTGGTGGCTTCCCTGCCCCTTCCCTGAAGGATTGCTGACTGCCTCGACTGGCCCAGGAGCTCTGCCCCTCTAGAAGCCCCCCCCCGATGCCAGCCAGAAAGTGGCACCAGCAGGAGAAGCCCAGCTGGTGGCCAAATTCTGCGCCACGCTCGCTTGCCCTTAGCAAAGGGCTCCTTCCTCCTGGCATCTAGCAGGTGGGCCTTGAGCCCCCCTCGGGTGCCCGAAGCCACGCAGCAGGTGGCGAGGGGGCCCTGGGCGATGGGCAACCCCCCTTCTTGCTTCCCTGCAGGTGAAGCGGGCCATGGTGCAGATGGTCAGTGCCATGGCCCACCACGGTTACCTGGAGCAGCCGGGCGGAGAAGCCCTGATTGAGTTCCTGGTCCGCCAGTGTGCCCTTCCTGCTGACCAGGTGAGGGCCTGGAATGGCTGGAGTGACCGCTTGACCGGCGGAAGTTGAATGCTCCCAAAGGGAGGCTGAGCACCAGACTGGCACGCTTTTCTGTGCTCCTCGTGCCCGGCAGAGCAGCGTGAGCGGCAACCGACGGGTGCAGGACTGGCATGTCGATGTGCTGCCAACTGCAGCCTGAAACTGTCCAGGGGAGCCTTCAAACAGTCGGGGGGGGGAGGCTGGGCCTGAGCCGCCCTGTGTGGGGCTGGGCCAGGAAAGCCCCCTCCCCTTGTCCACCAGCCACATGCTGGTTCTGCCCCCTTTGATCAGCCTTGGGCCAGCTGGACAGCCCTTTTGTGTGGGCCGGGATTGGACAGAGGCAGGAAGTCCACCCTCCGCCCTGGGCCTGGCATCCCCGCCCCCAAGAGTTCCTGTGCCTGTGTGTGGGGGGGGGCTGAATGGAAGGGGAACCCCCCCCCAGGATGGGCTGGGGCAGGGGCAGGAGGAGCCCGGCTGGGTCTGGACTGGGGAGCAGTGCTTCTCCCCTCCTTCCTGGGGGCTTTTGGGAGATGTCCCCCACTCTCCCCCCCAGGTCACCCCGCAGCCCCCCCAGGACCCAGAGGAGGTGACGGACGGCCAGGTCCGGAGCATCAGCATCAGCACCCTCTTCTTGCTCAGCAGCACCGTGGACAGGATGGTTGACGTGAGTCCCCAAAGGGAGGGTGGGTCTCAAGGCTCGTGTGATGCATGGCTGAGGCTGCTGGGATTTGTAGTGGAGCCCTTCCGAGCGGCAGCAACTGGGCCAAGTCTTCTTGGCGGGGGGGGGGGGAAATGCATCACAATCGGCCCTGCAGCTTCCTGGTCTGGCCAGGCTGCTTCTCTGTGGCTGAAGAGGGGGGGTCTTGGCTGCCTCCCCCCTGCAGGTGCTCTGGCCGTCCCTTCTGGGCTTTGTGACCCCCGTGCCCTTGACCAACGCCTTGGCCCCCCTCTGCAAGAGCCTCCTGGCCCTGGCTGCCCAAAAGCAGGAGCAGGGAGACTCGGACCTGCAGCTCCTCTACGACCCGGGGGGTTCGTATTGGCCTCTCTGGGGCAAGGGGGGGGCAAGGGGACAGCACGTGGGGGGGGGCACAGAAGAGTCCCTGGCAGCAAGTGGGCTCAGCTCTTCTAGCGGGAGGCGCGGCTGCAGTCGGTCTCTGGCATCAGGTGGAGCCGGATGGGGACACGGGGCTGCCCCCCCCCCATGCCTCTCTAGCTCTGTTCTCCCTCTGGGACGCAGAGCTTGGAGGGTGGTGGGCTCCACACTGGCTGAGGCAGCCCAAAGTCGCTTGTCCGGCCAGGCATGGCCAAGGGAGGGTTCCTATGTTTCCCAGAGGGGGGGGGCGCTTTGGTAGGATTCACTGCATCTGTTGCTAGGGGCAACCCAGGGGTGGGAGGGGAAAGCCCCCCAAAAACTGATGCTGAAGAATTGTGCCTCGCTTGCAGGAAACCTCCCGTCTCCTCACGCTTTGATGTCCCGGCTGCTGGTGAGCAGAAGGGAGTTATGGGGGGGGGCACCAGCCCTTTGCTTTGGGGGTGCAAGAGGGTGGGATATGAGGTATTTCTTGCCCTGGAAGGGGTCCCCTTGCCTTCTGCTGGGGGGCGCAAGAAAATATCCCCACCTTCATGCTTTCAGGGCTGATCTTGGGCCGTTCTCTGCCCTCATCCTGGGCGGGGGGGGGAGTTAGGATGGGCTGGGCCTTCCCTCCCCCCCTCTGAATTCCCCCAGCCAAGGGGCTTTGGGACCCCCTCTCCATCTTGCTCAGACCCTGCAAGGCGCAGCCCCTCCTCCCCCTTTCCTTTGCTTCCCCCCCCAGATCGTGGCTTCTCAGCCGTACCTGGGGGAGGGCCGGGGGGCGGGGGCCCTGCGACTGCTGCTGGTCTTGCGACTGAGCGTCCACCCCGCGGCCGAGCCCCTCTGGAGCTCCAAGGTCCCTGCTCTGCTGCAGCACCTGGAAGGTAAGGCAGGAGGGGGCCCTGCATGCCCCCCCCACTGTGGATCAGGCCGGGGTTCCCAGGGTTCCTTCTCCTTGCAGCCAGAGGATGCCCCCCCCTTTGGGGGCCGGTCTGTAAACAGGATGGACCAAATGGCCTTGATTGATGGCTGCCCTGCTGATTAAGCCCCTCCCCTCCAGGTATCCTCCTGAGAAGTGTGGGCCTCTTTCCTTTAGGTGTGGCATGGGGGGACCTGGGCTTGGGTCAGTGGGCAGATGCTGGGGGTCCAGGGCTTTGGGCCACTCCCTCGTCCCCCACCACTGCCTTGTCTTTCCAGCAAACACGGAGGCGTCCCTGTGCCTGAAGGACTGGCAGGGCCAGCTGCTGCAGGTGAGCCTCCCCCCCCACCCCACAAGGCCGCAGGGAAGAGCCAAAGGGAGGGGCACAACATTACCCCCCCCTCCAGCCCTACCTCTGACTGGACGTCTTCGCAAAGGGCTGCCCTACGCGGCTGCTCTCCTATTTGTGCATTGATTTGTATGGCCTTCCAGCTACCGCAGGGTGGCTTCCATACGGCATTAAACGCCAAGGCTATAAAAGCCCCAGAAAGCAGCCGAGGGTCCCTGGGGGGGGGGCCTTGGAGGGAGAGGCAGGGCTTGGGGGCGTGGCTGCCTCCCATGGCTGATCTGAAGAAGCTGCTCCGTGACCTGGACGAGCTGAGCCGACTCCCCGACATGCAGGGGCTGCAGCATCAGAGGCAGAAGCGCATGCGGGGGGGGGGTGTTGCCAAGAACGTGGGCGGAAGCTGCTGCTGGGGGTCTTTGGCAGAGGGTCTCGTTCGTCACACCTGGGACGGGAGGGCCCTTGGGCTGATGCCTTTGGACGCTGCGTGGCCACTCCGGGGCCCCCCCGTCCCTCCCTCCAGCCAGGAACGTCACGCTGGGCCAGGGCTGCCTGGCACCTCGGCCAGAGGCCAGCTCTGAAAGGCCAGCCTCTCCCCACAGCTCCTCCAGGAGACCCTGGACGCCATTTCGGACGTGCCCTGGATCTCCCAGCTGGTCTTGGAAATGTGCAGGCAGCTGAGTAGCTACAACGGACAGGCTGCAGAGAAGGTCTGGGGGGGGGGGAGTTGGCTGGGGAGGGGGCTGGGGGGGACCCTCCTCCTCCTGCCAGTGATCTTGTGCAGACTCTTGACTGGACAGGCTGGGTGGGGCAGGGAGGGTGGCCCCTTGACCTGGGGCTGGGCTCTCCCTCCAGGCCTCCAGGGAAACAGCTGCTCGTGCCTGGGCAGGGTGACGGGGCCTCTGGCACTCTGGACCCCGGGGTCTGCCAGGGTTCCTCCCGAGATCCATTCCTCCTCCTCCTGCAGGCCTTCCTCCACAGAGCCCTCGGGGTGGGCCTGGCTGCTTGTGCCGACAAGGACCTGGTGCGAAAACAGCTTCAGGAGCTGCTGGAGACGGCCCGATACCAAGAGGAGGCGGAACGAGAGGTGGGCGTCTGGGGGGGGGAGCTGGTGGGGAGAAGGGGGGGGGCTGCTGCATCTCACCTGGCCTCCTGGCCAGCTGCCTGCTCATCACCCCCAGAGGGGGCAGAGGGAGGGGCAGCCAAGGAGCCAGTGCCCCATTCTGGGTGGAGGGAGGAATGGGTAGCTGCATCCGGACGGGGTCTCCAATCTTGACCATTTTAAGGCTTATGGACTACGACTCCCAGAATTCCTCAGCCAACCATACTAGCTGGGGAACTCTGGTTGTTGAAGTCCACAAGTCTTCAAGTTGCCAAAGTTGGGGAGCCCTGCTCCAGAGACCTGGAGAAGGTCAGACTTTTGCCAACTCAACGTGGCCCAGCCAGGGCTCAGCGGGAGAAGGCTGTGCCTGCCGCCCCCTGCCCCCCTCTCCCCCGGGCTCCTACGTTCTCCCACGGGCTCTGCTTCCTCCGGTCGTAGAGCCTGGCCGTCTGCCTGGGCCTTTGTGCCGTCACTCACCTGGACGAGGTTCTGGCCAAGCTGGAGGATTTCGTCAAGTCGGACGTCTTCAAGAAGTCTGCTGGCCTCTTCAGCCTCTTCAAGGTGGGTGCCCCCCATCCCTGGGCAGGTCCATTGGGGATCTTTGCCTCTGACCTTTCCTGCCTCCCCCCTCCCCCCCAGGACCGCAGCGACCACGAGGCGGAGAAGGTGAAGAGCGCCCTCATCCTGTGCTACGGCCAGGTGGCCAAGCACGCCCCCCGGGAGCTGGTCCTGTCCCGCATTGACGCCGACATCCTGCGCAACGTCTTCCTCTACTTCAACACCAAGGTGAGGCCGGCTGCGTCCCGCCAGGAGGGGCAGCTGGCAGCGGCTGGGCCCTGCTTTGGCCCCCAGGATCGTTAATGCCCGTCTCCTTTATTTTGTCAGGTTCTGGGCATAAAGGTAGAGACCAAGGTACAGCCCGCCCTCCTCTCTCTGTCCACCTGCCTCTTCCGCCTCTCTCAGAGCTGGGGGGGGGAGGAGGGGCAGAAGCGCAGCAGGGCTGGGGGGCAGCTGAGTGCCAGCTCACCTGGTGCCCCTTGGCTCACCGTGGCCCCTCTGCCAGCAGAGCCCGTTGAGCCAGGTGGGGTCAGGCGGCAGGGAGGGCAGCTTGCCAGCCAGGCGGGTCTCGGGGCTGCCTCCCTGCGGAGGGGAAGAAGCGCTGCCAGGACAGAGAGGATGGGGGTCTCCCCTGGCCTTAAGAGGGAAAGGGGGCACCCTTGGCTGCGTTGGGGGTACACTTTGCAACCGAAGGAATGTCAGAAGAGCTCTGTGTGAGAAGGAAAGGGGGGGGGGCTGAGCTTGGAAGGGGCTCTCTTTGCTGACAGGAGGTTTGAGCAGGACTGAATGAGCAGAATATCAGAGTAGAAAGGGATCTTGGAGGTCTTCTAGTCCAACCCCCTGCTCAGGCAGGAGATACTATTTCAAAAAAGCACTGAGGTGCTGGCTGGGAGAGGCCCCCCTCCTTGCCCCAGAGCTGGGGAGTTCCGGCCCTTTTTCTGATGCGGTGGGCACAAGGGGTCCTCGGACTCAGCGGAAGAGAGAGGGGGGCATGCCAGGGTCTGTCCCTTTGTGCCAGGCGCTCCCCGCAAATAAGTTCAATCTTGAGATGGCAAGCCGGAGGGGAAGCCCGTGGTGGTCCAAGCAAGCAGCCCCTTCCCCGGGGGTGAGATCTCCTGGGATCGCCCCACCTCAGCCGCCCCCCCAGCCCCCCCCCAGCCAGGAAGAGCTGAAGGGCAGAAGCAGGGCTGGCCCACAGGAGGGGCGTTTCTTGGGAGGGGCTCTGCTCTTACTAACGCCTTCCTCCCGGTGTCTTTTCACTAACTCTGTGGGGAGGGTCTCTCTCTCCCCCCTCTGGGGATTCAGGGGCCCATGGAGCTGGGTGGGCAGGAGGAGCCGAATCCGGCTCACCGTCAGGGGCAGCTGGGAAGGGTCTTCTTCTGGTCCTTGACTGTCCTGCCTGGAGGGACGGAGGCCCAGAAGAGCTGTTCTTGGGGGTTCACCCGTCCCCCTTTTAGTGCCCCCCCTGAGTCTTCTGGACCGAGGCTGCCAATGTCCAGTGATGCTTCAATTAGTGACGGAAGTGGGTTCACCTCCCAGCACGGGTAAAGGGCCAGCAAAACCTTTGGGTGACTTCTGTGCTGCCAGTTCCGTTCCCCACTGGCCCTGGGCACATTGGGGGGGGGGAAGAGATCCCTGCTTGGTGCCTCTTCCAGCCCCTCAAGGCCTCCTCCTCCTCCTCCGTCCCCAGGATACGACCCTGAAGCTCTGCCTCATCCGCAGCGTCTGCCTGATCAGCCAGGCCGTCTGCCACAGTGCCCAGTCCGGGGACTTCAGCTTCTCCCGCAAGGCCGAGGTGGTCGCCCAGATGCTGGTGAGGGGCAGCTGGAAGCGTTTTCCCGGCTCCAGCAGAAGCAGCAGCCCCCTCCCCGCTCCCCTGCCAGGGTGTCGGGCAGGGATGCCCCCAAATGCCAGCCCAGTAGAGGCGCAGCTGCCCGCCGTCACTTCTCCCGCAGAGGGAGGAGCAGGGGACGCCCTGAGGCTGCCCACCCGCGCAGGAGACCCCCGGGCGGTTCAGGCCCCCACCCTCCCAGCCAGGGCAGAGGAGCGTCTTCCTTTGGGGTGGGGGGGCTGCTGGGGGTCGTCCTCACACCTTCCTCCCTCAGGACTTCATCAAAGCAGAGACCCCCGACGCCCTGCGGACGCCCATCCGCCAGAGAGCCATGACCGCCTGCATGTACCTGATGTATCCTTGCTCGGCTCCTCCTGGGAAGCCCGAAAGGGGGTTAGGAGTGCTGGGGGAGGGGGAGGGAATGACCTCCCCCCCTCCCCACATTCTGGTTCTCCCCACTCAGGCTAAGCAGGGCCTCCTCAGACGCCCTTGGAGAGCTGGGTCTGCCTCGCTGCCAAAGAGCCCTGCAGCCGAGGGGCCTCCCGTTGCAGCCCTGACTGAATCTCCGCTTGGGGAAGGGGCTTCTCCAAATGAGCTTCACACCCCCCTCCCAAAAGTCTCCCGCTCCAGCCTTAACTTGCCGGGCAGCGTCCTGGAGCCCCCCCTGAGCGAGGCCGAGAAGGTGGAGCTGGTGGAGACGTGTCTTCACAGCATCTTCCCTCTTCCGCCGTCGGATGTGACCAAGGAAGGAGACGGGGCCGAGGGGGAGGCCGGGCCCAGAGAGGTACCAGCCCAGAGCCTGACTGGGGGCCCCTGGCAGGCGGGCAGGGGATTGTCTGTGCTCCCCAGCCCCTCCCTGCCTTTTTTCTGGCACCCGTTCCTCCCCCTCTGCGTGCCGCCCCAGGACCTCAGGTCTGCTGCTGCCCCGGAGCCCGTCCTGCCCGCTTTGCTCCGCCTGCTCTGCCCCCCCAGAGGCTGAACAGCTCCTTCCTCCCTGCCAGCCCCTCTGGTGCGCCACCCTGGCGGCCCTCAAGGACCTGCTCAAGAGCCTCCTGCACCGCCACATGACGCCCCACGGCCTCCAGACCATGTTCGAGGTAGAGGACCCGGCGGCTGGAGGGCGCTTCAAGGGGCAGGGACCCTTCTGGGGAGGGGGCTCCAGGACTGCATCTGCCCGTTCTCTCCCCCCAGCACCTGGGCCCCTGGATCAAGTCTGCCAAGGAGCACGAGCGGGAACGAGCCGTGGAAGTGAGCGCCGCCCTCCTGCTCTTCTACCGGGAGAAGCTGAACGTCAGCGTGAGTCCCCCGCCCTCCCCCATGGGCTGCACAGCTTGGCTCACCCACCGTGTCCCTCTGCAGGCTATGCTTGGCCTTCTAATCCCAGCATGGGCCCCCCCAGGCTTAAGCCAGGTTGGGGGGGGTGATGGGTTGGTGTGCTTGGGGAGAGGGCTGTGACATGCGGCCTTGAGACCCCCCACAATCTGGGAAGGGCAGTGGGCTGATCGCCCTGGCCTCGCACTGGGCAGAGGTCCCCCAGCCGTAGCTGCTGGGATTGGCTCTGGCTGGCCTTGCTGCGCCCCTCCCTCGTGACTGCTTGACCAAGTGGCCGGGGGCTTTGGCCACGGGGCTCAAGTGCCCCTTCCCTTGCTCAGAAGGTGGTCCCCTTCTACAACCTGGGGCTGCTGATGGCGCTCTTCTCCCCCCGCTGCACGGACTCCCTGCCCAGCGTCCGCCAGCATGCGGTGGATTGCGTCCATTCTCTACTCTACGTACAGCTGTGCTATGAAGGTAAACATTGCTGAGGCCTTTGGGGGTGGGGGGGCTGCTCTGTGGGCGCCCCCATCCTCGGCTGTTCCTCCAGCGGGGCTAAGGAGGTGTTTTTTTCTGGAGGGGCTCAGGACATCCAGGCAGGGCCTCTCTGCAGCCAGCAGAGGGCAGCGTTTCCTTTGCTGTACTCCAGTGGTCAGCAGCTGCGAAGAGGGGGGCTGGTGGGCCGTGTCTGCTCCAGGGAAGCTGTCCAGGCTGACGGGCTAGAGTGTGGCAAGGGGGCTGCGTGACCCAGTGGATCTCTTTCCAGGCTTTTCCCAGGATCACAGGGACGAATCTGTGGAGCAGCTGAAAGCTCTGAAGCCTGGCCTGAAGGATCCAGATGTGACCGTCCTCTTCCAGACGTGCTGCAACATCGCCAGGGTAGGGTGGGATGGCTTTTGTGGAGGGTCGGCCTCTGAGCTGCCTCTGGGCCTGCGGGGGGGGGGGGGCTTTCATTCCATTACACTCCAATGGGAGGGGGGGGCTGGCTGGGTTTAAGGTGGGGTAAAGGGTCCCCTCCCAGCTCTCAGCCCCCCAGAGTGGCCAGTGCAGATGCTGAGGACAAAACGACTGTGGAGACGCTCCGTCATCCGGATCACGATTGTCCCAAAGTGCCCTTCGAAAGGCGACTGGACTTTGGTGGGGTTTTTCCCTGCCTGGTGAGGATGACCTCCTTTCTCCACCCTGCTCCCCCCCCTCCACAGGTCATCGCGATGCACTTGCCCCCCGACCAGCTGCTGAGCCTGCTACTCTCCATGCTGGAGGGCTTGGCGGACCCCGACCGGAACTGCTCCCGAGCCGCTGCAGTCATGATCAACTCCGTCCTGAAGGAGCGAGGGGTGGTCCTGCTGGAGAAGGTGGGGGGCCCCATGGGGACGCCCTGTGGGGGGGCTCCTCCAGCATTGCGGTTCTGGTGGGAGCCCAGGGCCCCCGGCTCTCTAGCCCTGGATCCCTGCCCACTCTGCCCCCCCCGACAGGCAGTGGCTTTTCTCAAGGCAGCACGGAATCCCCAGGGAAGGAGAGGGGATTCAAGAGCCCACTGGAGGGGCCCCTTTGCGGCCCTGCTTCCTGCGATCCTTTGGGGCTCTTTCTTCCTGCTCAGGGCAGATCCTGGAAGGGCAGGGAGGATGCGGGCTTCCTTTTGGGGGACCAGGGGGGCCTCAAGTGGTGAGGGGGCCCCTGTGCAGCCCTTCCGGTGTTGGCCACCCATCTATTTTGGCCCGAAGAGGCTCAGAGTGGCTCTTTGTTGCAGGAAGGGAGGGGGTGCTTTTTCCTCCTGTGGCAGAGACGGCGGGGGGTGTCTCCTGGGGGCAACTGGCAGAAGGCCGTGATGGGAATTGGGGGGACTTCTGCCCCTTCTGGGGGTCTCCTAGCCTGGCCCTTCGCCTCCCCCCGCAGGTCTCGGAGCTGCTGGAAATGGTCCACCTCAAGCTGCAGGAGGTGCCGGAGGAGACGATCCAAAAAGCTGCCCAGCAGACGGTCTGCATTCTGGCCTCCCAGCACAAGGCCGCGGTGGTGTCCAGCCTCCTCGGTCACCCCCTCCCCCTGGACAGGTAGGGGGGCTGGGAGCCCCTGATGCTCAGAGGGGGTGCCGGAGCCCTCGGGGTGTCCCTGGGGCCCAGGTGAGACAGGCTGGCCAGGAGGTCGGGGGGGGGTCTTTACACATATACACGAGGTCTTCCTGGGGAGGGTCTTCTCTTGCTCCTGAGTGGCCCCAGGCCGCCCAGGGTCTCTTGCGTGGCCTACAGCAGGTGGTGGTCAGTTCCCCTCTCAAGGTAGGGTCTCCCCCGGAAAGGCACTCTGGGTTCCCCTGACTCAGCTGCGGCAGGTGCCCCGAGGGGCTTGTGGGTCGGAGCTTGGAAATGCATTTGGGGGGAACAAGGCTGGCAGCTCCCCCCTCCCCATTCCCCTTGGGGGCTCCTGGGCGATGAGTGGCCTTGCCTCAGGGACTCAGTCCCCTCCTCTGGACGGTTTCATGGGCAAGCCACAAACAAGGGCGGAGGCAGGAAGGGCTCCCGGAAGGGGCTGAAGGGGGCTCCTCTGCCTCTCTGCAGCTGCAGCTGCACCATGTGGAGGGCGCTGGCGCTGGAGCCCACCCTGACCGCCCAGGTCCTGGAGCTGCTGCTGGACAAAGTCAACCGGGATGTCCCGTACAAAGAGAACAAGTCCTTCCTGCGAGGGAGCCGCTCGGAGCGCGTGGCCACCTTCTATCCCCTCTCGGTGAGTGTCTGGGGCAGGCGCCTTCTGCCGGAGGCCTCTCCGGTCCCTCCCCCCCCAGTTGCACGGGGGCACTGCTGTCGCCCTGCACCCACGTCCGGCTTAGCCTAGTGACAAGGCAGGGGGCTGCCCCAGCCCTATTAAGGGCTCCTGAGGCTGGAGACCCTCTGTGGCGCTGACCTGTCTTGCAGTGGGGCTGCTGTGGGTCTGTCTGGCAAGGAGGGGGGGTCAGTTGGGTTCACCTCCCTGCTTGTTCCTGCACGGAGCCTGGCACCCCTCCCTGCCCCACACCTGGGGAGGCTTCCTTGAGCCCCTCCTTCCAGATGCAGTGGATCTCTCCCCCTGCCCTCTGGAGGGCCCTCAGGACCGCCGGTTCCTGCACCCGGCTCGTGCCCGCCTTCCGCTGCCCTCTGCCCTGGTCTGGGTGGGCAGGGGCGCCTCTGGGCATCTTCAGAGGAGGCTGCTCGAGAGTCCTGTCCGAGGGCTGAAGCCTGGGGTCTGCAGACCCCCTTTGGACCCTTGGCTGCCTTCACCTCCTTCGCTTGCCTTGCTGGGGGGAGCCCATGTGTCAGTGGAGGGCCCCAGAGGGGGGAGGAGCAGCAGCTGCACATCTTGCCATCCTAGCCAGGGCTGCTGGGGGGTGTGTGTCTGCTCAAGCCCCCCCCCCAAGTCTTGTGGGGAGGCTGCTCACCTGGAGCCCTGATGACGTGTGCGGGGAGGGAGGAAGGGAGGCCAGTGCCTCCTGCTGGGGGACAGAAATGGATGCGGCTCCCCCCCCCCCGCCAGGCCACGTGTGCGCTGCATGAGATCATGTCTGTCCGGGAGTCTGGACCAGCCGTGGGGGGGCTCTACGCAGAGCTCTTCGTCTCCCTCCTGCTCCGGGTCAGCTGCACGGTGGGGGTCCGGCTGCCGAAGCACCTGCAGTCCAAGGAGCGGAAGGGCATCGGCCGGGGGCAGAGCCTGCGCTCACTCGACCCTTGCAGGTAATGGATGGGGCTGTAAGGGGGGGGGGCTCGACGCCTCCCCCTGCTCCCCCCGCCCCTCCTTCCCCACCAGGTGAAACTGATTCGGCTCCTGAGTAAGCAGCCCGGCGGTGGCCCCCGGTGTAACATGGGGGCTGGCTAATGCGCCACGGCCCATCGCAGAGGAGGTATGGAGCCGGGCCTGACCTCCGCCCGGGGGATTCGGGCCTGCTTTCCACACGCTCCTCTCTCCGAGGTCAGGAAATATTAAATTGTGCTTCCTGTTGCAGTCAGCCCTGCGGTTTGCATCTGCATTCCTCCGAGGGGGCCGGGATGCGCGTCCTCTGCAAGGCTGGATGGGATCACAGCTGCCATTCCAGCCACCGGGCTGCGCTGCAGGGGCTGCCCTGGGCATCTGGGCCGGGGGCAGGGCTGGGCCAGCTGGAGAGCAGAGCAGCCTGGGGGGAGGGAGGTCTCCCAGCTGGGGTCCACATACGCGGAGGGGCACCTGGGCTCTCATATCTGAGCACCTGGAGACCTGGGTCACTGAGGCACCTGTATGTCCTGCCACACGCGCCTTGTTTTGGGGGACCCAAAGACTTGGTAGTTTACTTGGGGAGGGGAAGGGGGGGGAGATGGTGCAGGATAGCCGTGCTCCGGTGGGCCACGTTGCCAGGTGTCATGCTGCTGGCACTGTGCTGGGATCACTTACTGTAGGAGCAGTAAGTTAGTCCTGTGGCTCTGGGGAGGTCCCTTTGCAGCCCCCCAATCTTCAGCCTGTTTTCTTGGAGGGTGGGGTGTGCAGATCCTGCACCGTATCTTGCACCAAAGGTGATTTTGCTTTAAAGGCAGTTGGACTTTCTGACTGAAGAAGCTTTGGGGATGAGAAGCGAAACATCTTGAAGAAAAATCAGAAAGTCCAATTACCTTTAAAATAAAAGCACCTTTGGGATAACTATAATCTGGGTGAATGAGAACCTTCACAGACAAAACTGGGTTACCAGCTGTGCCCCCTCCCAAAAGGGCCTGGAGATGGGGGGGGGGATGAGAGGAACGGGATGCCCAACAGGATCCTGAACATCTGCAGATGTCTGGACATCCCTCCTGCGGTCACTGATGGCCGGCCACTTCTGTGTGCAGTGGTTGTCTCTTAGTCACCAGGGGTTCCACCTCCTGCTCTGGAAGACATGCACTTGCAGGATCGGGGCCATCCAGGCAAGGTTTTTTGGGAGGGGGCTTCTGAGGAGCAGTCAGAGGACGTGAGCTCCCAGATGGAGCCTCACTCACTGTGCCAGGGGAATCGTTGCCCCCCCCTGCCCCGCCCCGCCCCCCAGTAAATTTGAGTGGGCCAGCTGCTCTGGAGCTCTCGGCGTTCAGATGGGCCTGAGGGGCTCCCAGGAACAGACGGGCATCCACACTGGCACCAGGCTAAGCTCTGGCCATCCTCCAGCATCTGGGCTTCTGGGCGGTGGGCTTCAGCACCCCTCTCCTCCTCCTCCTCCCCCCCAGCTCTGCAATCGAGACCCTCAAGGCCATGCTGACCCAGGGCGGCAGCGAGTCAGTGAGCAACGCTGTGACGGAGGCCGGTGGCTGGGAACTGCTGCGGAGTCCGGACACGCACTACGACGGCGTGGCCTTTCTGGCAAGGTGAGCGGGGCACACTCTGGATCGGGCCCTTTGCTGGCCTGGGATTGTCCCGGGAGAAGCCCGGAGGGCTCCAGGTGGCCCTGCCTGCTCTGGAGGGTTGGCACCAGGACTTTGCTGCTGCTGGGACAGGGATGCTCACACTTAAGAGCTTCTCTAGGGGAGAATATAGGCTGCTGCTGGGGGTTGGTGCCCTCCAAGCTTGTGGTTGGCTTTGAAGCCATTTCATCACCCAACCAGGTAACTTTATCAGTGCGTTGGTGACGTTGCCTAGTTGGGTAATGAAACGCCTGCAAAAAACCAGCCAAGGCCAGAGAGCTCCTCCTCCTCCTCCCCCACTCCACTCTGGAACCCCCACCCCCTCCTTGCACTGATGATGTTGCCCAGTTGGCTCACCCGGAGGGCTCTCGGGGGCTGTTTCAGGGCCATGGCGAAGCAGGCGGGGCCCAGGCTCCCTCCGATTGTGAAGCTGCTTTTACCGATGCTGAACAGCATCTACGACAGCCAACGGCTCACCACCACCGCCTTCTTTGCCGAGGTAAGTCCGCCTGGGGCCCCAGCTGCCCTTCTGGCCCAGTCTCGGGCAGTTCCGCCTCCCCATCTTTGAGGCTCATAACCCCAGGTCCAGGAGCTGCAAAGGATGGCGAGAAGGGGAACGGAGGTCTGCTTTTAGCACCCGGCTCAGGCAGCGGCTGGGGATCCTTTGGTTCTTTAGCGGGATCCGGCTTCCGCCTGCTGCCTCCAGCCTTGGGCTGCCTGCTCTCCAGAGGCAGGTGGAGTGAGCAAGCTAAGGGGGGGGGGTGAGCCAGCAAAGCCCCCCCCCCATGGCTTCTGCTTTCCTTCAGCCTGTCTGATAGCTCTGAAGTTGCCAGTGGGCCACAGCGATTATTTATTACCTTTGTTATTTATTTGCTAGGGTTTTTTTTGCTGCCTATCTCACCGTGGGGGCTACGGACCCCCTCTGGGCTTTTATTTTTGCTGGGGACCCAGCTCCTGCCTGGGCCACCAGCAGACGAGGCCACCAACCCTCCCCTCGTCCCTCAACGTCCACCCTGAGGAACGGAGGAGGTCCGGCTGCCTCCTCCCGCCCAGGGTGACTGTGACCCTCCCTCGGCTGAGTTGCCAGCCCTGGCTGGGGGCCTCCCAATGGTCTCCATTACAAGGCAGCCGCTCCTGCTGGGGCCAGGAAGCTGCCTCTTAGGATCTCAGCTGATAAAGCAGTTGGGGATTAAGAGGCTCCGCGGGGAAGCCCACAGCCAGATGGGAGGGGAGGGGCGGGGGGGGGGAGACACTTGGCCATAAAGCACACAGCATTTGAACCATGCTGAGGAGTGAATGCCTACACAGGCAGAGTACACGCGCACGCACACACACACACACACACAGAGTGAGAAGCTGCAAACTGCACAGGTCCTTAACATAGGTCGCTGGGGGCGAGGCAAGGGGGCAGATCCAGTGCTGCTGGGAGGAGCGGATCGGGGCCAGCAGGGAGGATCCCCCCTGTGCAGGAGACATTTCCACTGCAAATTGAGAAGGACCCACTAACCCCATCCAGGTTCAGACTTTCTTCTCCTGGATGGTGTTGGCCTTTGGGTGGATTGAGTCCTTCGGCCCCGTCTGGGCTCTGGCCAACTGAAGCCAGCGTGGGGCCCAGGAATTCCGCCAGTTCCTGGCCCCTGAAGGGCTGGCAGGTAGAGTGGAAGAAGGTTGCCCCCATTCTGGCTGGCAGGCCTCTTGGGGGTGGAAACTGCCTTGCCACAAAGGATTGGGGGGGGGGGGGCTGTGTGTCTTTCAGCTCCTCAGCAGCAACGTGGTAAACGATCTGGTTCTTCTGGAGACTCTGATGGACAGCATGACGGCCCGGCAAAGAGACTCCTTGGCGGTGGTGCGAATGCTGGCCCTTCGTGGATTGGGCAATGTTGCTTTGGGCTCCCCGGAGAAGGTGAGGGCTTCTGGGTTTGGGTGGGCACGTGGGGTCAGTCAGGCTCCTTTTGCCAGGCTCCTGAGCTGGTCTCCATCTTTGCGGGCAGCTGCTTCTGCTGCACGTCTGGAAATGAGATCCACGGTAGAAGTTCAGCAATTCTTTCCTGGGCAAGAAAATGGCGGCGGCAGCAGCAGCAGGCACTTCCCCCCCCCCCCTGGCAACGGTGTCTCTACTCCTCCAAGAATCTAGCTGTCCGTCACCACGCTCTCCTCAGGATAGGATAGCAGTTGCCGAACAGGCAGAGCACCCCAGTTCCCGGACAGACCATCTCCCCTCTGCCAAGCACGTGCCCCGAAGCTGCGGTTGGCGTTCGGCTCCTGACCCAGGCCCTCTGTTTCCCCCCCTATGGCAGACGAGGAAGAATGGAGCCCAACTGCTGGCTTCCATGATCAACAGCTTGGACGACAAGGATGATCCCAACAACCTGGTTGCCTTGGAAGCCATGTCCAGCCTCTCCAAGATCCTGGCCTTCACTGAAGAGAGCGATGTCCACTCCGTGCTGCTGCACGTCACCATGCGAATCCGGCCCTTCTTTGACAGCGTAAGCAGTGCAGTCAGGTAGGGGAGGGAAAGGGGAGCTGGCCGCACTTTGGGGGGGGTCTGTAGGGTAGTCCTCAGGCCTTCAGGTGAGTTTGTCTAGCGCAGGGATGTGCAAACGTGGCAACTTTTAGGATGTCTGGACTTCAACTCCCAGAATTGCTCGTGCTGGCTGGTGAATTAGAGTGGCACATCAAAAGTGCAGCTGCCCTGTCCACAGGAAGCTTGGCCTGGGGGCTGAACCATATTCCCACCTGTGTCTTCGGGTGTTGTGTTGCAGCAACACATGATGTATGGAGATGTGCTTGGGGGGGAGCATGCGTGCCCTTGCCCTCCGCTCGCGTGGAACCATCCCCTTCCCCCACACACACCGGTCTGCAAAACTGGAAAGGTTGGGGACTGCTGTTTTACAGGGAGGATGAAGTCTGGGAAGGAGAAGATGGACGTGGTGGGGAGAGGGGAGGAGCGGGGCCCCCTCCAGCCGCCCCCACAGAACTGCTTTCCTTGCAGGAGGAACCCAACCTCCGCAGGACCTCCATCTTCCTCTTTGGGAACCTGGCCAGGTTCACCTCAGGGAGCGGTGAAGATGCCTGTTTTGAGCAGATCCTCTATGGCCTGGTGACCCTGCTGCTACATCTCCAAGACCCAAAGCCGGAGGTCGTCAAGGTCGGTGCCCCAGCTAGGACGGACTCAGCTCTCTTCCCCTCTGCAGTGAAGGTTCCACAACTCCTCCCCTGTCCTTCCTCGCAGGCCTGCAAATTTGCGTTGCGCATGTGTGGACCCATCATGAGCTGCCCTGGGCTTTGTGAGATGTTTCAGAAGCACCTGCACGAGGAGTGGAGCCTCCACTATGGCGAGTTCATGAATGACGCCTGCAAACACCTGGTGAGCGCCTGGCCTTTGGCTTCCCCGTCCTTCCGCGGGTGAAGACCTCGCTAAGCCTCCCGTCTCCCAGTCTCTGCTCAGCACTACACAACCGGTTTCAAAACAAGGAGGTCCACAGTACAGCCCAACCTTTTCCCAGGGATGAGAAGGTCCAGAAGCACCACAGGCCTGCTCTTCTGCTCAGCTGGAAAGGAGAACTTTCCTGAGCGGAGATGTCCTGCTTTGTGGCTGAGGTGACCCTCTGCCCCCCTGGCCCACCTGCAGTTTTCAGGGTCAACATTTGGTTGCTATCGGAGCCCTCCGTCTTACTGGCTCAGCTGCTCTGACCGTGGGCCGGCACTAAATTGTCCCAGTCAGTCAGTTTAGGAGGACACAGGGCTGTGTTGCCCATGACCAAAGCAGCTGAGTTGACCCCTTGATTTGTTTCCATAGCCTGGCTGCTCGTCCAAAGAGATTTTCCACCTGGTGCTAGCTGGTTCTCTAGGTCTTCTTTCCCTCCGATTCAGATGCAGAGCATCCCGGAAATGCTGAGTCGTTTGGTCAACATCAACCTCTTCTACTTCAAGAGCAACTGGGCCGATATCCGAGCTGCTGCCCCCATGTTTGTAGGTGAGAAGGGCCCCCATGGAAGGGCTGGTCTTTCCTGAATGGGACACCCCCCCCGTTCTGTGGGGCTGAAAGGGCCTTCTCTCCCCCTTCCCCGGAAGGCTTCCTCATCCTGCACGTGGACCGAGAGCAGAGCCAGCAGCTGGATCTGGACGAATTGATTGCTGGTGAGTGACCATGGGAGGCGTCCCCCAGGGCAGCGTCTGCACCCGAGGTGGGTCTGCCACTGCGGCCTTGGATACCGTGTAGGAACCGCTGAGGGATCCAGATGGCGGTGCTGGGAAAGGCCTCTGTCCCAATTAGGTAGCAACGTTTTCCTCTCTCTGGGCTGCATCCTTGCCCCATCAGAGGATTGGTCCCCTCCCGTGAAGAGTACAGCTGAGGAGGACGAAGGGGGAAAGGTCTCGGTGCCAGCCCAGCAGCCACCCCCCCCCCGCACGGGACACCTTCTTGGGTGAAGGTGGTGGGGCAATGGCTTCCCTGCTGGGGGGCAGCCCCTTGTCCTTGGCTAGCCTTGGGCCAGGCTGCGGTGCAGAGAGGATCGGGGCCACGTTCCTGCGTGCAGCCCAGCTTCCTCCCCCCCCCCCGCCTCAGGGCTGCCCCTCTGAGACCATCCAGAAAATCCAGTTAGGTAATAAACTTTCCTGGACTTTGCTCCTGTTTTTCCTTGTCAGCAGTGACCTCATCGCTCAGAGTAAGGCTTGGAAAATCTCTGAGCTTTCCAGCGGAGCTTAAAAACCACTAAAAAAGGGAAAAGTATCTTTCCGTTGGCTGAGGGAGCCGACCCGAAGAGAGGCCCATCTGTGTGCAGGGGTGGGGGGGATGCCGGGGAGGGGGAGGGAGCGGCAAGGACTCCGGATGGGGTCGCCACAGCTTCCCGTCTTGAGTGCGAGTGCTGGGCCTGCCAGCCCCCCTCCTCCCCCGGAGCTCCTGCAGCTGGTCGGGGCTGATGGACGGGAAGCGGCTCTGTGCATAAATCAGCCCGTCTCCCTCGCTCGCTGCTCTGGCGGGACCAGAGTGTCTCGGATTTGCAGTGTAAACATGCTACTGGAAAAATATTATTGTATCTCTGCTGCTTGGGAGGGACTCCTGGCCCCTCGCCCGCCCTGCAGCTGGGCCGGGGCCAGGCGCAGGCAGAGCAGACGCAGCAGCCCAGCACAGCCGACGGAGTTGCTGCCGCGTGGGCCGAGACTGTCCGTGGCCCCCAGAGAGCCGGGCTTCCGCCAGTGCTTGGCTTTCAGCTGCGGCCCTTCAGATGGGGCACAGGAGGGCTGCAAGAGGGCTGCCCGGGCTCCTGGCTGACGACCGGCTGTTTCTCTTGTCCAGCTCTGACCGTGCTGCTGAAGGACCCCGTGTCGACGGTGCGGGCGAAGGCGGTGGAGACCCTGGGCCGCCTGGGCAGGGCCATTTAAGGACTCCTGGCCACGGATGCCACCGGAGGAAGTAGGATTCCCCCCCTCCCAGCTCCAGGTTGCCCTCACCCCTCCCGAGAGGCGAGTCACACGTCTTCCAGAGCAACACAACCTTCGCATACTGGAACATTCCCCGCCCTCAACATCTTAAAGAGAAGACCTGAACTCTCTGCACCTTTTTGTTTCCATGTCTTTTTGAATTTCTGCAGGGGACCGCCCCGTCCCCCCACCCCTGCACTTGGGTAGGCTGGACCAGACATGGGGCACAGAATAGTCTCAGGGCTGTTGCACAGGGGCAGAGGACCAGCGTGGCCCCTCCCCTCCCTGCCCCAGAGGAGCAGGTGCCTCCTGACTCTGCTTTTGGCTAGGCGGCTGTGCCATGCTGGCACCCCTCCCTCCAGCCCCAGCATGGGGGGGGGGGAGAGCGCCCTGCTGCACCTTCCAAAGTTTATGCGCATTCCTCTCAGCAAGAGTTTGTATATAGACTCAGACAACTTATTTTTAATAAACTATTTGCTTCTCAGAACCACCAGGGCTCTTTCTTAGCTCCTTGGCCAGGAGAGGAGAGCCCCCCCCCCATTGCTCAGTCCCCAGTGGCTTCTCCCTCGGCTTCTGGGGTCCAGCCCTTGGGGATGGGTCTGCCAAGTCACCGCTGGCTTCTGGAAAACCACCAACTCCCAGGCCAGAGAAGGCGAGGTCTCCCTCGGCCTCAGCAGCTGCAAGCAGCCCCCCACCACAGAGAGAGTTGCCTGTGTCTGGAGGAAGCTGCCTAAATGGCCCCAGGGGGGCAGGAAGGACTCAATCCTCCCCCCCCCCGGCCTCCGACCTGACCCAGAGTGGCAACCGGCCAGCGGAACTCATCGCAGGGAGCCCCTGAAGTCATGGTCGAGCCCAGCCCAGCATGTCTGCAGCCCCAGGAATGAGCTGTGCAGCCAGACCCCATTTGTCCTCCATATTGCCAACTGCAGAGGCATCCCCCCCCCAGCCTTGGAAATCCCAGCTCCCCCCCCCTCCACCTTGCTGCTGTTTGAATGGGAGCCCGGCAGGCCTGCAGCTGAAAGGGGGGGCTGAGGGGTTCCTTCCTTCTGCAGAGAAGAGAGAGCAGCAGGCGCCCCCATGTCAAGAGAACCAGGCAGACATGCTCGCAAAGCCGCCCCCCCCCCAGTCCCTCTGAGCTCCCGCTTGCTTGACTCTCCGGAGGTTGGACAGCTCCATCCGGCCTCTTTGGAGGAAGGGACAGAATCCTTCCTGAAGGGCGACTCTGGCAGCTTCAAACGGAAGGGCCAAGCTGGACCCTATAGAAACCAGCCAGTTTGGGGGGGGAGGAGGGGGGGCTACTTCAAGCAGGGCTAGTGAGGCCCCTGCAGGAACCACCATCGGCGCCGTCAGCCTGATACGGCCAGCCTCTCTGTAGCCACGGAGGTCCCTCTGCCTCCCCTGCTCAGGGCCCCCCCCGGCCGTGCGGTTTCTTACTGAGGGGGAGGGAGAAGGGGGAGCACATGAGGTGCTCTTTAAGCATGAAGCCTTGTGCCAGGGGGCCACAAATTGCTGGGCACATTTAGAATGAGGAAGAGGATGCAAAAGGGACTTTTCTAGCCGTCCACAGAAAGTGGCTGAGTCCCAAGACGTCAGGATCAAAGGCAATTCCACCAGAACACTCACCCCCCCTCACCCACCCCCATCTCCTTTTATCCATTTACCACCACCACCCCGTTCTGTTTCTGGTCAAGGGAGCTTCCTTGCAAATCAGGCACTTTTATTGTTTTCCAACCGAGCGGGTGGGACCCACAAACAATGCAAAAGAGCGCCCTGTGCCTGGCCTGCTCAGTCCTCCAGGATACCCCCCCCCCCCGCTGGAGGCCTGCAAGATGTGACGTTGCTCCAGGGGCCGCCGCTCATCCTCGCCGGGACCAAAACCTGCAGCCTCCCAGGCAAAGGAGCCCCCCGGAGGGCCTGGCACCCCTGGCTTCCGCTCTCCTGCCAAGTCTGTTTGGAGCTGGGCGCAGGGCTACGTGAAGAGCCGGACGGTGGCGTCTGCGCCCGCAGAGAAAAGCCACGGCTGCGTGGGGTGGAAGAGGACATCGAGGACGCCCAGGTCGTGGGCCGGCGCGTGGCCCCTCAGCACCTTCACTGGCACAAGCAGCGGGTTCTGGAGCAGGTCGCTGGAGGGAGAGGCGGAGAAGGGTCAGCGGGGCCAGTTCTGTCCCCCATCACCACGTTCTCCCTCCACCCCGGGCAGACACTCACTTGTAGACCATGCCGTGGCACACAATCACGCTGCCGTCGTCCGAGCCGGAGGCAAAAAGCGGGTAGGAAGGGTGGAAAGCCACTGACCTCAGGGCTGCCTTGTGGTGCCTGCCAGAGAAGGGAAAAGCTGACCCAGTAGCCCGTGGTGCCCTCCACCCTTCCCTGCAAGACGGAGGCCAGGTCTGGTCCGAAAGCAGAAGGAAGGAAAAGCAGCTGCAGGGTGGGTGGGTGGGCTCTTTGCTCTAGGACTGGCTCACAGCCAAGGAGAAGACATCAGCCCCAGCTGATTAATGTGGGGGGGGGGGCTGCTGAAGGCAGAATTATGCTGGGCACGGACACTGGAGGGGCCGGCCTGCCCTCGGGGTGCCAGCATCCGGGCTGGGAAGACCTTGCAGCTCAGGATCAGCTAGGAGGTGGTGGCAGCGTGTCCTGCATTCCAGGGGAAGAAGCCCCCCCATTGCCTTCAGAGGCTGGATGAGGCGGAGTTTGGAGAGCCATTTTGGAAGACGGGGAGGGGGTGGGGGAAGGGAGGGCTGGCTGCTCCCCCCTACCTGAGCACCCGGTAAGGCTTGGTGGAGAGGTCCAGGTCAAACCAGACGAGCTTGCTGTCGTAGCTGCCGCAGATCAAGTTGTCGCCTGAGAAGAGGGGGACCCGTTGGGGGACAGGCTGAAAGGCCGCCCCCGCCCCTCTGTGCCCAGGCAGGGACGGGGGGGGGGCTCCCTCTCCCAGGCAGGGCTGGCGGGGCAGACCGAAGAGGTCCCCCTGCCCGTGCCCAGGAAGGCGACCCGCTGTGGGCCTGGGCGGCTCCGGGCTCACCTCCGGGGTGGGCGGCCATGCTGGAGACCCACTTGCAGTTGGTGAGCAGCTTCTTGGTCAGCTCCTGCTTGAGCAGGTGGTAGATGCGGACGAAGCGCTGGGTGGCCACGAAGAAGAAGGGCCGCAGCGGGTGGAAGAGGATGCGCTGCACCTGGCCCTTGCTCCGGCGGAAGGGCGCCTGGCTCCAGCGCTTGCTGGCTTGGTGGATCAGCACCTGCAGGTGGCTGTTGTCGGACACCACCGTGGCAAAGTAGTCGCCCTTCCCGTGCCAGGTGACCTGCTTCAGGGGCTGAGGGAGGAGACCAGGTTGGGGAAAACGGGCACAGAGGCAGAAAGAGCCCCCCCCGGCCTGCCCCCCCCGCTCACTTGCTGTGCCCAGGCCGCACCTTCCCAAACCTCAGCCTGAGCCGCACACCCAGGCGGTGCTCCTCCTCTGTGGCTTCTTCCCACGTGATGGGCTGCAGACGGCCTTCCTCAGGGGCCACGTAGCCTTCCAGAAGTTGGTCGGTGGCCCCACAGAGCAGCTTGTCCCCGAGGCTGGGGTTCACCAGCAGCACCGTCTGCTCCCTGGAAGGGACGGGGGGCCCAGAGAAGGCGTTAGGGGGACCCCACTCTTCCGGGGCAGAAGGCAGCTGCCCAGCAATCGGGTCAGGCCAAGATTCACCTCCCCCCCCTCCCAGGTGAGTCTACTTCAAAAGCTTTTACAGAAAGTGAAACGAAAGCCACAGTCACCCCTGAGCCCCCCCAAGGCTCCCCGTACGCTGCACCTGAGACACAACCCACTTTCTCCCCATCGGAAAAGAGCACCCCCCCCCAAAACAAGATCGTTCCTCTGTGCCGAACGGGCACCCAGAAATTTTGTTTCTCCACTGGACCCGAATGGGAAACGGGGTCGATCACTTCCTGGGTGGCTGGACACCCATTTGTGGGTTTTGGAGGAAGGGGCTTACTTTTCCTCCTTTCCCAATGATTATAGACCACCCCCATTTCCTTTCTCATCAGTCCCACCTGCCACTTCAGGCCTGCCCACCCAGGCGCCCCTTTCAGCCTGCCCCGTGGTTGCTGGCCCTGAGGCCGGGGCCCTCCTGTGGCAGCCGGAAGCCGTACTCACACAGCCACGGCCACCAGACAGATGCTGGGGTTGGGGTTCCAGGCGATGCTCTTCACCGCCGCTTGCACTGGGAGCGTCTTCACACACCGGGCCGTGCACACCTCCCAGAACTTCACCGCGCCATTGTCTGAACCTGGGCGAGAGACACAGGAGCCGTGGCGTCTTCCCTGGTCCCCCCGAAACAGGCGTTCTCCAAGGATGGAGACCTTTGGTGGCTCTCTGGAAGGACTACGCCCTCTCCCTCCGAGCCCCAGGGGGGACCCCGCACTGCTGCACGGCCTTGCACCCTTCAGCCCCGGGAGAGGGGCTCGCCTGCGGCAAGGGTCCCGTTCTCTGGCTGGAAGGCGGAGCCTCTCGTTTGCATGAGGAGCAAGTCCAGAGGCCACGCCCGCAGCCAGGTGGGTGGTCTTTGAGCTGCACCCGAGACTCTGGGCAGGGCAAGGAGGCCAGGCAGGAGGGTGTCTGGCAGGGCTGGGAATCCCCCCTTCATAGCCACAACCCCCCCCATCTGCCCTTCCATATCCTGGGCGACCTGGCCCAGGAGTCCAGCTGCCTCCTCTCAGCCGCCTTGGGGAGTCGGACGTGGCCAGGAACAAAGGAACCGCCCTTATTCAAGGCAGGGGGAGCAGGGCCCGCGCAGGGCCACGTACCTGATGCCAGCCACTGCCCAGTGGGAGAGAGGCTGATGCAGCGCACAAGGCTGGTGTGGCCACGATACACCTGGAGAGAGGGACGGGCAGGCGAGTGAAGCAACGCGGAAAGTGCAAAAGGGGCATTCCTGGAGCAGCCCCCCCCCCCCGTAGCCTGCTCTCTGGGGCCCCACCAGCCCCCTATCAACCCCCCCAACCCCTAACCCTGTTTCCAGCAGCTGCTCAGCAGCCCAAGGTTTTCTGTGGCCCAGCAAAGGCCCAGCGGAGGAAGACACGCCGCCCTGCAAAGCCTCACCAAGGCCTGGGCGGTTGGGAAGGGCTTCAGGTCCTGCGGCTTGGGCAGCCTGGGAATCAGGTCCTCGGGGTCCACGCTGACCTGGAAAGGAAGGAGGGAAGCCGTCCGTCCTGCCCGGCCTCGGTTCCAGCGGGGAGTGACTGCCCAGGCTGGCGCAGGGAGATGCCCGCGGCCTGCCCTCCCTCGGGACCAAGGGGGCACGGCCCTGCCTGGCCCGCTGAGGGGCGGCCGATGGCCACACGGGTCTGCGCACTCCCCTCCCCCCACCGGAAGGAGCCAGGCCTACCCGCATCTTCCTCTGGCGGGGGCACAGGTAGAGGTCGAGGCAGCGCTCAAAGCGCTGGTGGATGAAGCGAGGGAAGGCGGGCACTCGGCGCAGGCAGTCGCAGCGCTGGGGCAGGAAGCTCAG